CACACACACACACACACACACACACACACACAGGCTTGTTTGTCCTCAGGGAATCCAGCATATTAATTCAGTCAACAGTTGAACTTGTTAACTATTGAACTTGTTAAGAACAGCTGACCTGTAAGAAATTATCTCACTTAAGTTTCTTCCTTTTCTACTCCTTTCTTCTCAAAGGGACCAATGAAAATATGGACAAGTAGATTACAGGAGGTAGAGGGCAAAAATGAAGGCAATGTCCCTGACTGACCATTTCCTAAATAAACAAGAATTGGTATATATGTACCTGCCTCCTATTCAAATAAAAAAGTATTCAATAAGAGTCTGGAGACTAATTGGAATTTTTAATACCACAGTAAAATTATCAATAAATTGTAACAAATGATGGGAGTTCTTATAATGCCAGGTTCTGTACTATACTACTTTGCATGAATTGGTATTTCATTTAATCCACATCACTCATATAAAGTTGATATTATCACACTTTTTTAACAGATGAGGAAGTCAGGCTTAAATTTGTTTGAAGTTGCAAAAGCAACTTCAGTTTTCTGGACTGAAAAGAAAGGACTTTTTTTTTTTCATTCAAAAACATGCTATTTAACAAACACTTATGCCCTGTGTTGTGCTCAACTCTGGGGCTACGCTTGAACAAATCACCTGGCTCTGTCTGCAGAACATCTCCTGGCAGACTGAAGTAATTCTAAGAACTTCGCAGTCCTGTAATCTCTGATTCTCATCTGCTTTCTCTTTCTAATGGTTAAATGGATGTACAGGTACATTTGATGATCTTCCCAAATGTTCATATCTGCCTGCAGGTGGTGGGCAGGAGAATGGGAAGCATGTTCCACAACATGTGGGCCCTATGGAGAGAAGAAGCGTACAGTATTGTGCATTCAGACCATGGGCTCTGATGAGCAAGCTCTCCCAGCTACAGACTGCCAGCATCTGCTGAAGCCCAAGGCCGTCATTTCCTGTAACAGAGATATCCTGTGTCCATCGGATTGGACAGTGGGCAACTGGAGTGAGGTGAGTTCAGGGGTTCAGAGGGAGACTGACATTATTCATGCTTCATCAGCCTTCCACCCATTCCTCCCCATTCACCAAATCCAAAGTGACTCAAGGTTAAATTGCATAATAGACACCATCAATCACCTCTGGCCTTTTTACTCCAGTTCCCACCACCCAGTTTTTTAGGATCTTCCTCTTTCTTGTCCATGGTCAACTAACCACCACAGATGAAGTAGATACCACTAGTATAGGCTCATGACAGCTAATTATAAATTGTCAGGATTTTTGCTGGCCTGTCGTTAAATCACTGGTAATAAACCAAGGCTCTCCCATATCACCCCAAGAGCCAGTTTGTTAAACATTTGCCAGTAAATCATTGTAGTTAACTAAAACCAAAGAAGTATTGCTGTAATGATGAGGAATATACTTTACACTCAGAGAAACTCGCTCAAATCTATATCTATTCAACATGTGTTCGGGACATCTATTATTAGCCACATAGATTCAAATAAGCATTGCATTGTCCCCAGATTAAGTTGATCTAATTCTTTGAGTGTAAGTAGAAGTCAGAGTGCTAGAAGTTTATGAGAAAATCCCAAGTTTTAATATTCTGTGAGTCATTATAGAGCCCGGTTCTGTTGGGCCTCATTGTGCCCCAGAGTGATTAGGGAAGTGCTGTTCTTTCCCCATGACACCTGGAGTCTGCAGGGTCTTCATCTTCACTTGCCTGTGTGCATTTCAGTCAATGGCCCAAGGAATGAAATGACTAGGAATAAATGATCTCCGAAAATCAATAGACATGAAGGTTGAGATGCGTGCTGACTCCATCTCGTGATTTTCTTGAGAAACCATAAGCTTCCTATAAGAACATAGGCAGGAACGCCTCTGAGGACTTAACTTCAGAGGAAATGGAAAATATTTGATCCAGGGGACTGCCACAGAAAGTCAAAACTAACTCTGTTGAGAAAGTGAGCAGTGTGATCAAATGGGATCAAATTTCTGTGTTTAAAATGATATTTGAAGCTGGATGCAGTGGCACATGCCTGTAGTAATCCCAGCAGCTCAGGAGGCCAAGACAGAAGGATCAGGAATTCAAAGCCAGCCTCAGCAACGGTGAGGTGCTAAACAACTCAATGAGACCCTGTCTCTAATAAAATACAAAATTGGGCTGGGATATCACTCAGTGGTTGAGTTCCCCTGAGTTCAAAACCTGGTACCTACTCCCCCAAAAATTGATATTTGAAGTGTTAGAGCTATTGCTCAGAGGTAACACACTTGCTTGGCATGTGGGAGGCACCAGGTTCAATTCTCAGTACCACATATAAATAAATTTTTTTAAAAGGGTCTGTTAACAACTAAAAATATATTTTTTAAAAAATTATATTTAAGTATAAACTAAGGAAATCATTTTTCATCTATAGCTTATTAAGGTGTTCTGAAAGTATTATCTAAAGAATTTCTAAAATTTTTGTAGTAAAGTTGCCCTCTCTTGTTTAAATGCAGAGCACTCATTTCAGTACATCAGCTTTAATAACCTTCACAAAACTATCTTTGGTTAACTCATAGTCAATGTTTAGGTTTATTTAGCTTCTAATTCTCTGCAGGATGCACTGTTGGGCATCTAAGTAAAAAATGAAAAATGGAAATCATGGTTCCTAGATTGTAAGATCTTCTGTCAAAGGAGAGCTATCCCACCACAAAAAAAGGAAGGAAGGAAGGAAGGAAGGAAGGGAGGGAGGGAGGGAGGGAGGACGGGGAAGGTATGCGGGCAAAGAAAATATACTACTACCACAGGTGCATTTGGGGTTTGTGCAGGTATCCATGTGCACATATCAGTGATAAACCAGAACTTTCTCCTTGCTATTCTTGGGAGGTAATAATCTTAGCATGAGGCTTGCCTGGCCTGTTCATCTGCTGCCACCCTAGATTGCTGTAAATTACAGTGTTGTCAAAATAAGGCTGAATGGGGTATTGTGACTGGTCCATTAAATCTGTTTACCAAAAACGTGTTGGCTGCATCCAAAACAGTTAATAATTCTTGTCATGTAGAATTTACTAATTGCCAGAATCTTAATGCTTTCTCAAAGGTCTGTAATTACAGATTTGGCTGAGAAGTTCTTCTTATTATGTTCACATGTATACACAGCATAATAACCTGTCTTCACTGGAGAACAAGGGACAAAAAAGTTGGTATGATGTGACGAGTACTTGTCTCTGTGGATTCCAAATCACAGGCATTGCATAGTCATTTGACAACACACATGGAAGCTCTAGTTTCTACCTTGCACTCAACAAAGCTGAGCAGAAAGCCTAATCCAGTGCCTTCATTCAGGAGATGTTATTAGAAATGCTTTTAGTAAATCAACATCAAAAGATTCACCAAATGGGTGTTCCTTTCTTCCCTATACTGAGCTTCTCTCTAATGGGCTTTGCTAGAATATAATGAAATATCTTTTCATTGCAACTATACCCAGATACTTTTTTAAAAAAATATTTATTTTTTAGTTGTAGATGGATGCAATAACTTTATTTCTTTCTATGTGGTGCTGAGGATCAAACTTAGGGCCTTGCACATGCAAGGCTAGTGCTCTACCACTGAGCCGAAACCCCAGCGCCCCCAGATACATTTTGTAAAAGAAATGACAGAGTGATTCTTGATATAAAGTATTATCTGAATTTTGTCTTGATACCAACATTATTTGAAGTAGGGGAATACTCCAACTATACATACTCAGTTTGTCTGCACTGGGTCATTGGATCACCCTGGCTGAGCCTAAAGCTCTAAGGTAACTGAGCCAAAGACCCAAGAACTGAGATACTCCTAGATTCCCATAGA